AGAAAGAAAGCCAGATGACAACAGAGGAGAGGAATCAAAGAGGAGAGGAATCAAAAACTCCCAAAAAGTGAGAAAAAGAATCCTCTGGAGGTCCAAGGTCAACTTGAAAAAAATTACACAAGGGAATTAAAAAATTGCACATCACCTGTAAATGGATGGCAAGTTTCCCCTTTCTGCTGATTTCCACAGCTGGACCAAAAATACAAGCATAAACAGCACATCATTTTTTTCTGTGTGGAAATATACTTTGGGGACCTAATTTTCTCCTAAGTAGTTATTATATTCCAGCTTAGCAGCTGCCCCTCTAGGGCTACTTACAAAACGGTGATTACAATCCATTTGTATGGCTGCGTGTTTTCTGGCATGCATAACGTCTGTTTGCATCGGGCTTGTACAATGTACAAAACAGCAGCTGGAGGCTTGGAGTCTGACTGACTTGTACGTCTGTTCTTGTGTATTTGTGTGCATGTGTTTCACAGCTTGTGTGCAAATGTGAATTTATATGTGTGCATGTGAATGCCAGTAAGCATGACAGAAAAGGATGGGGTGTCTCTGCCTTGGGGTATCTCTGAATTGGGGTGTCTCTGTGTTGGGGTATCTCTGAATTGGGATGTCTCTGTGTTGGGGTATCTCTGAATTGGGATGTCTCTGTGTTGGGGTATCTCTGATTGTCTTTGGGTATCGGGTATACATGTTAATATTCTCATGTTAGCAGTCACCAAATCCCATGTATCTTGGTCACCACCTCCCAACAACACTTAAACATTAGTTTTTTACAATCATTTTAACACGTGTCTCAATACCATGTCCACTTTTTCAAAACACTTAACATATGCACCATACCATTGGACCATGTGAGCTAAACTATGTATACTTTTACATTGCTTTGATACAATATGCATTCAATCACCACTTCGCTCAAATTTCATGAATACTTCTCTCGGTCAGTGTTCACCACCAGCAAAACTTTGTACAACTACAGCTGATTTTTCAGACGTTTAGATAATCTGTTCAAAACAGTTAACTTTCAGGTCAAAACCTAATGAAATTTAGAGCACTGTCAATTGAAATATGCTGCATTTTGACAGACAAAGGACACTATGCACTTGCACTAACACAAATAATTATGCTTTTAGCAGAAATTTCCAAATTTTGTTTTTGTTTTCTGCTTCGTTACCATCTACATCATCTATACGAATGAGGCCATGGAGTGTCCCTTTCCTTTTTGC